CTTAATACTCCTGATGACGCGTGGAACAGAATGGATAGAGTAGGAGCCTCTGTCTGCCTGCCGGCCTCCCCTTCCACACACATTATAAAAATAACCTGTTTTTCAGGTTTCTTATTTATCAGTAACCTTAACGCTCAACTGATTCACCTGGGAGAAAATGTTGACCTTTAAATTAGTGTCTGGCAGGAGACAGGGCGGAACAGGATAATTGAAACGTAGGTTTCAGAATAGCTTCTTAGATGATTTCTGATGGCTTCCGAAACAATGTGGAGTCTTATAAACATTTCCCTTTTTTTGAGACAGTGTTTCAATGTGTCCCTAGCTGGCCTAGAAGACCAGGCTGGCCTTGAATTTACTGAGATCCACCTGCTTCTGCCTTTTCTGCTGGGAGAAAAGACTCGCGTCCCCCAAGGGGTGGTGGCACACACCTTTAATCCCAGCACTTCCGATCTCTGAATTTGAGGCCAGCCTGGTCTACAGAGCAAGTTCCAGGACAGCCAGGGCCACACCAACAAAGCCAGTCCGGAAAAACCAAAGGTGTGCGCCACCACACCTGTCCATTTTCTTTAATTTTATTTCGATACCTTTACCTCAGGCAAGTTTCTTTAAATCTTGTTAGTCTTCAGTTTACTCACTTGTTTAGATTTTTTTAATTCCTTTATTTCTTTCTGTTCTGGAGATGGAACCCAGGGAAGTGCATATGCTAAGCAAGTCTGCCCCTGAATCCCATGTCTAGCCCTAACTTACCTTTGACACACTAATTCCTGAAATTCTTTATAGAGAGTATTAAGATGTTACATACATTGGCCTAAGCGAAACCACAACAGTGACGATGGCCTGACCCCAAGTATGTAACTCCTGATGACTGCGGGACATTTATGGCTCACAAGTGTCCATGTGACAAGGGTTATTACGTAAGAACACCCAAGTTCCCAAGACTTAGAGGGACGGGTCTATGCAGACAGCTTCAGATGGAAGTGTTGAAGGAGTCACAGGAGGATGCAGGCCCCAGCTCTTCACTTTGCTTTTTGTGTCTTTACAGAGAGTGTTGTAAAGTGCTCTCGGGGTACACTGGGTATTATAAAAGCTTTCTCATCCATCACTCGTGAGAAATATGGACGGAAAAAGTTAAAACAGAAATTTTAAAATGATACATGGCCAGGGTGTAGTTCCTCGGCATAGCATGTGCTTAGCATGGGCAAGGGTTCTAATCCAAACACAAACACACAAAAATGTATTTCAACTTGACCATGAATGTATTTCACCTACCAGTAAAATACATGCTGATTCTTTTACTAGATGTTTCTCGGCTTTTACTTTGGATTCACACAGTATCGAATTAATTACCATAATTCTAATCACAAGTTCAACTTACATAAACAGGTGTGAGAAAATGTATGGCTTTGAGTTGTATACCTTGTGAATATGCACTGGAGAATGAGATATCAGTTATATGATGAATTAAGTGGATGTCATGGAATCTTATTCGTGCCCATTGTTAATGGCAGACATTTCATGTACTCTTTAAGACCACAGGTCTTTGGACATTAGTGAATTGAATATTTAAAAAACAAATGCAATCCCCTTTACCCTTCATCCTATGTCGTGCTTAAGAACAACTTCTTGCCTTTGATGGCATTTTGTTGACGGTCTCCCTGTCATTTTCTCTGATCCCGAGTGTCCTTTTGGTTCCAAATTTTGACTGTCAACACAGGGATGGGAGGTCCTTTAGCCGATATTCCCATGTGCAGGTAAGCAATAGCTAAGGTCACACCCAGCATCTTGCCTCTAGATTCATATCCAGATTCTAGTTCCATTCTGCTTTGCGGCCTCAGACATAACAGTCTCCATGAATTCCCTTTTGTCAAAAGGAAAGCTCAGCCTACAGTTTTGTTAGGTTATATGATCAAGGTAAGCCTAGAAGAGGTATATAGTGGAGTGTTTGTTCTTCTCCACTTTGTGGGGCCAGCTACATTTGGTCTTTGCCTTTTACTTTTCATCACATCCAGGTATACTGCTCTGAGCATGTGCAATGATGGTTGCTGAGCTACCTGCAGACCACTGGCCCTGTGGCATCTCAGTTCATCAAGAGCCCAGATGCTCTGCTTGCTTCTCCATGCTTTTTTAGAGAGATTATATATATATATTTTCTCATATCTATATCATATATATACTTTCTCATATCTAAAGTCACTTTCACCATTATCTTCATGGGGTTTTGTTGGTTTTTTGTTTTTTTTTTTTCCTTTCAAGTCACACTGCTGCCCTCTGGATTACAGTAACAACTTCCTGATTGTTCTTGTTTCTTTTCATCTTTCTGCAATCTATTCTAGCCTAATTGGTAAAATGATGCTCTGCTCAGCACTCTCCAATGGCTTCCTGTCCCCCAGGAGGCAAATCTACTCACCCAGTTTGACATGTGCTAGTTTCAACTGTCAGGCCTTGCAATGCACCTTGTAACAATGGTCTGTCCCACCCTGGTCACCTCTCTCCTGTCCCTTAAATTTGCAAGCTCCACTCCAATTTTTTTTTTTTTTTTTTGCCTGGAATGTCATCATCCATTATCTACCTCGCTCATTGTCTCATTGCCATCAGATGGTACTCAAATATCTCTTTCTCAATGGCTCCTTTGTAAATTCCTCATTTGAAAACACAACTCTCAGGCCACTACGTCACCACTTTAATAAAAAATAAAGTAGAAATTTTATTTTAAGTGTATGGGCATTCTGTATTTATGTCGGGGAACCGCATGTATGCCAGTGCCTGAGGAGGTCAGGAGAGGCATTGGATCCCCTGACACTGGGATTGACTGCTCTGAGCCACCATGTGGGTGCAGGGAACTGACTTGGCTCCTCTACAAGAGCAGTGCATGCTCTTAACTGCTGAGTCATGTCTTTCTTGTTTTTTCACAGTCAATGCAGAGGTGTGTGTTTGAATGTGTACACGTATGTACTGTTACTTTTTGTTTCTGTGGTAAACTCCATAACCAAAAGCAGCTTGGAGAAGAAGGGTTTATTTCCTTTTACAGGTTACAATCCAAACCTGGGTTCTTTGCAAGAGCAGCAGGTGCTTTTGGCTGCTGAGCCGTCTCTCCAGCCCCCTCCATATTATTTGTTGATATAGGGTCTCTAGGAACCTGGTGCTCACTGTCTTGATTGCCAGCGAACTACTGGGACTACCTGACCCTGTTCTTCAGTGCTAGTTATGCCTTACTTTTACACAGGTCCTTGGGATTTGAACTCAGATCTTTATCCTTGTATAGCAAGCATTTTACCTGCTAAGTCATCTCTCCAGCCCCTGCTGTATTTTCCTCTGGAGCACATATCAGTACCTGATGTCATATGTAGTTTAGAGCTTGTAAACTCTCATCCGCCTCATGAGCTGGGGTTAACTTGTTCACTAATGACCTCAAACATTCAGAGCAGTAGCTACTATGCAGAAAGTAGTCATGGAATCATTTCAAAGACTTGATCAGGCTGTATCCTTTTTAATTGGAAATAAAGTTATTTCCATACAATATGCTCTGGTCACAATTTTCCCTCCTGTACCTCCTAGGACTCTCACTCTTCCAACTCCATGACTTCTTTCTCTCTAAGAAAACAAACAGACAAATGACAAAAAAAAAAGTACAAAACAGCAGTGCATATATAATAAATAAAGAAATCTTAAAATGTAAACAACCAAACAAAAGCCTCTGTTAAAAAATACAATGTCATGTGTCCCAGGTTAGCCTCAAACTCACTATGTACTCCTCCTGACTCTTACCTCCAGGGTGCTGGCGTACACCACTAGACCAGGTTTATGCAGTGCTGGGGATTGAATCTAGGGCTTGACGCTGGCTAGGCAAGCATTCCACCAACTGAGACTTGGCCCCTGAAAAGAAATCTAATAGGAAGATTTTTTTCTTTTCCTTTTATTGAAAATGGATTATTTTCTCATATAATATATCCTGATTACCCCCCCCCACCCCATATCTGGTTGTAATCCTTGTTCTGAGAATCTCTTGCCTCATTGTTGTATAAACATTGCTCCCCAATTGTGCCCTGGTGTGCCAATAAAGCAGCTAAAAGCCAGTTGCTGAGCAGGGGAGAGCATAGGGCTGGACTTCCTGATAGCCAGGGAAGGGAAGGAGGAGTTAGAGAAGAGGGAGTAGGAGGGGGTTCAGCCTCAGCCAGATGTCCACAAGAGACCATGAGAAGGAGCTGAAGCAGAAAAGCCACAAAATGAAGTATCTCTGGGATATTATCTAAGCCAAATTATCTAAGAGGTTTAAGAATGGAGTAATAATGGCTCAGTTCTCATGCTATGAAGCTTATTCTTCTTAAACAAATATAAGAGTCTCAATTATTTATGTGATAGCAGGGTTAAGAGAGAAAATGAGAAACAAACACAGTTTTATAAAAATAATTGCAACATGTTACAGTTTCCTTTCCCTCTACCCCTCCCAGTTGCTCCCCACCTCCCCTTCCCTCTGGATCCACTCCCTTTCTGTCTCTCAAAAGAAAAGGGCAGCCTTCTAAGTGATAACAACCCAATATAATAAGGTAAAACAAAACCCACCACATCGAGGCTGGACAAGGCAACCCAACAGAAGGAAGGGAGCCTCTAGAGCAGGCACAAGGATCAGAGACCCATTTGTTCATTCACACACTCAGGATTTCCTAGTGCAGACCTGTATTGGCTCTGCCCTTGCTGCTTCAGCCTCTGTGCGTTCACATGAGCCTTGTTCAGTTGATTCAGATGGTCTTGTTCTAATTGGAGGAAATTAAATTGTGCTATGTCCATGGACGGAAAAGCATGCACTTGTTAAAAATTATTTTAGACATGAAAGCAAAAAGGTATCAGTGTGTAGGGGGAGAGTGATGGGGATGAATATAAAACCATATATATATATATGTGTGTGTGTCATAATGAAATCCAGTATTATATATAATTAATATAAGCTAATAAAAATCTTTAAAATTATTTTAACATTTAAAGATTAATGATATGAGCTAGACATGGTGGTGCCCACCGTTAATCCTAGCACTCAGGAGTCAAAGGTGGGTAAATCTCCGTGAGTTTGTGGCCAGACTGGTCTCAAACGTAGGCTTAGATTTTTCACCAACCCTACTTTATTTAGGGTTCTTAAACACCTTTAGCTCCCTTCCAGAGCCCCTTAAATAGGAGATTAGTAGGGAAAAGCACTATAGACAATTTTGTCTACTTCCTGCTGATTAGGTCGATGGGTCTTTGGAGGATTACCAAACTCAGTTGTCAGGATACCATCAGTCCACCCCAAAAGCCAAAACCACGAAGCAACACAAGTTGGCAAAAGCTGCGAGACTTAGTTGGAAGTTCTCTGGAACACTTCTCTCTGTGAAGTCAAGTGTCGAAGCATGAAGATCAGTGCAGAGACATCAGTCCAAAAAGCGAGCTCTCACTGTGTGTGGGCCTCTATATATCTCCTCCTCAGAGTCCACCCATGGATGTTCTCAGCTGGCCTAAGTCACTCCCCTTGCATGAGAGAGCTCACAGCAAAACATCAGGTGTCCTCTCAGAAGCCAACCTTCGGCAAAACATCACATGACAAAACTGAGTCTTCAAGGAAACCAGAAACTTCCACTTCATCTACACATAGTTCCAGCCTGTGAAGAGTGTCCATACACCTCCCCAAATGCTCACAATATATCAACTAGAAAAAGGAAGAATATAAAAGACTCCAAGTTTAGTTTGACTATAAATGAAGGGAAATATACTAAAATTCTGTCAGTGGTTAAATTGCTGGATAGTAAAGTTAAAACTTATTTTTTTTCTTTTGTTAATTTTTTTTGAAAAAAATATTGACAACATCTACTTTCATTTTATTTACTTTTTGTGTTGTTAGGGATTGAGCTCAGAGTCTGTCACAGGTGAATCAAATGCTATACTTCCACCCCAACAATAACCTCAGCTTAATTAAAAAAAAAAATCTCAAAAAGTATAAAGCTTCAAAAGGAAAAGGCCAGCTTCCTTCTAACAACTCCTCATTTGAATAAATTTCTCATTTCAACTGAAGGTATGATTTGCACATCTTTTGGTACTGATTATATCCTGCCAGTATTATGTATCTTTACTTCTTTCCTTAGTCCACATACTTTCTGAAGGCAAAATCTATGTATTATCATTATTTTTTAGGATCTACACAATTTTTATTTTTATGAATTACTTGAATGAAAAAAAACATATTTGAAATATTTTAATAACCAAGAGTGATTAGTAATGCAATTTTTATATGATGTTCTTTCATGACCAGCTTAAAACAATTCGTTATTATTATTATTTTGTTGTTGTTGTTAAAGGCAGGGTCTTATTATTTAGCCCTGGCTGTCCTGGAACTAATTATGCACACCAGGTTATCTTGAACTCATAGAGTTCTACTTGCCTCTGCTTCTTGAATGCAGGGACTAAAGATATGTGTAACCATGCTTGGCCAGAAATTTTTTTCTTGACATAAGAATGTTCTCGGTTGTCAGGTAGATATTTTTTCACTCATTTATTGTCCCAGTGACTTCTAATTCATGGTTTCCTAGGTTACATAGTATAATCCCCATAACCTAACTATATTTACTAAGAATTGGCATCCAGTGTGTTAAATTTATAGAATTGCAATGGTTGGTAAACAAAAATACAGGCTGCACAATAAAGAGTGAATTTCAAAGAATATATAGTATCTATTATTAGTATGTCCCAAATATCACAGGGAACATACTCATATTAAAATTCTATGTGTTATCTGATAGCCCAATTTAATTGTCAATCCTATGTTGCGTTCACTGACCCGACACAAGATGGGGATTAGGCCTTTTTGACTTAAAACTACTGAATCCTAAGAAGCTAATAGGGTCAGTTTGTGATAAGACAAATAAGTTTCTCTGTTACATCCAAGACACACAAGCAGACACATACAGAAAGATGGGATTGGGTTGTCTGGGATCTCATTTTGAGAAACCATGGCATCCTAGAAGCTCAGCTTGTTTATTATAAAGATAGAGTTGAACAGAGAGACAGGGGCTATTACATACAGCTGAACATGGAGTCAGGCTTATTACACAGATAAACAAGACAGCAGGGTTTATGGTGTATAGAGAGTGGAGCAGTGTCTGCAGGGAGCAGCCATCAGGGGGAAAGAAGCTGGGGTGGACATTTTCTGCTATCAACACCTACACATGAAACTGTTTTCGTAAAGTGAGGACTCTGATTCTTTCAGTCTCTCCCTGACCCTCCATCATTTTCACCCTATCATTCAAAGACAAAATTCAAAATATCTTAACTGGTTACAGAAAGTCTTCCAGGAAATGGCCCCGTTTCTGTTCTCACCAGTTTTCCACACACAGCATTCTTCTACACAGAGGCCCTGGCTCTCCTGCCCCTTCTCACCCTTTCACAAATCCTCGTGTGGCCTCTGCTTTGCTGCCATGGTATGAGGGTTAGCTGCTGGCCCTCGGTGCTCACACAGCTCTGCATCTTCTCCCAGCACTGATTTTCAGGGGTAGCAGAAGTGAGTGGTATTTTCCTATTACTATCATCTACGTTCCCTTTTAAATTGGAATGGGACTTACAATCAATGACATCTTACAATGCTGCTGGCAGAAAGCAGTTCTGAGCAGGCCGTGAGAGTTGAAACACACGCAAATTTTGTGGTGAGTATTCCCAGTGGCATGACAATTGTAAACCTCCTGCTTTTCAGTCAGCCAGCCATATAAAGAAAGGATTTTTTAAAACTTGATTGCAGTCTGAAAACCACGCAGTGGCACCTATTGGATCAAAAACTCACAGGACAGATGACAAGGGTTTGGAAGAAAGAAAATAGCAGAGATAAGAACAGCATATTCTTAAAAAAGAAAAAAAATGCTCTGACATTCACACTCATTAGAATTCATTATTGTTGATAATTTCTAAGTGATGAGGTACCATTGTTTCATAGTTTAACCAGCAGTCATCCTATAACACTGGCTCAAAATGAAGATTCTTTAAATTTAAAAATAAAATAAAATTATGCGCATAGGTGTTTGGCCTGCATGTGTATGTGTACATTACATGCATGCAGTGCCCACTGAGGCCAAAAGAGGGCACCAGATCCCCTTGATCTGGAGTTACAGAAGCTTGTGAGCAACCTTGTGGGCTGCTAGAAACTGAACCTGAGTTCTCTGGAAAAGCAGCAAATGCTCTTAACCACTGAACCAACCCTCAGTGGCTGCCCCACCCCCATCATGATTGTTGACAATATAAGGTGTCCCCAAACTCATGAAATATGGAACACTACCTTGAATTTTCCAAGTAGTTCTTTAACATTAAGTCTTACCATGTATGCGTAGGGGCTGTGAGGACACTGCATCTCAGTGTTTTATCTGTTTCCTTTCCATTGAATTACAGAATCTCTTAGGGCCTGGCATAGTGCCTGCCACATGTTCCATGTTCGTCTAGTATTAGCTGAGCATTAGTTGAACGATTCAGGCCTATAGTCCCTTGGGAGGCTGAGGCTAGGGGACAACAAGCTTAGGGCCAGTGTGTGCTGCAGAGGGAGTTCAGAGCTACTGAGACTCTTGTCTCAAAATTAAAACAAAAAGAAAAAAGTAAAATATAGCTGATAGAGCTCATGCCTAGCATCTGCAAGGACCTTAATTCAATCCCCAGTGACACACACACACACACACACACACACACACACACACAGAGAGAGAGAGAGAGAGAGAGAGAGAGAGAGAGGATATCTACACTGTTTATGTTCTTTCAGAACTGTTTGCTCTGAACTAATTCCCAACCTGGATATATCAGCTCTTACTGTAAAACACTGCTCATCAGAAAGATGTGATTTCTCTTTACTAACATTTTTACATAATTTGTACAACCCAAACTAAGTTTCCTTTTATGGGTATTATCTTGTTAATATAATTTCATATCCAATTTTGTGTGTGCTAATTTTTTTTTTTTTTTTTTGTTCTCAACATCACTGTTATGATCTAAAAGGAGGTTGAATAGCAGAGAGCTGAGGAAGTGCTAATATAGCCAAATGCAACTGTTGTTACTTCTGAGGAACACTGGGTTCACCAACAGATAGTTCTGTTCCAATGACTGTTGCTAAATTTCTTCCCAGGAGGAGACGTAATATCTAAGGTCCCAATGACAAACCAAGGCCAGAGTCCACCAAAGCTAGCTCTGGGGAACCAGTGAGTTTACTGAGGTGAGGGGTCACTTACAGGTGTGTGGCCCTCCCCCCAGTCTTTCGTGAATTATACTTATCTACCCCTCCCTCAAGCCATGTGCAGTTAAAGCAGAGTTGAATGGGGCGGTTGGTACAACAGGTGGTAGAGGGCAGCTGGCCAGTCAGGTGAGAATATCATGCCTTCTCAGCCCCTCTGTGCTGGATTAAACCACCACCAAGCCCTGCTTCCATGACAGTCAGGTGAGAATATCGTGGTCTTCTCAGCCCCTCTGTGCTGGATTAAACTACCAAGCCCCGCTTCCATGATCTTTTGCAATTGGTGCAGCTGAATGCCCAAATAAGGGGGTCTCATGGCCCAGAGGACAGTCACTCATGACAATGGCATACACAGATATCAAAAGCCAAGTTATTGGCACATGATTTAAAAGTGTTAGCCTGCTTTATTGGTTTAAAATCATCTAAAAGTGTTCTGGTTGGCTCCTACAAATATAACTCACTACTTCTCCATTCTGTCAGAACAGCACTACTTCAACATTTTACGTAGGCTGGTATTTAAGACAGAGTCACCATGCTTTCGGGTTTCCACATAATTTATTTATTCCCTTTGAAAGTGGAGCAAGAGCTTTTGGACTTTACTCCCTATTTTTAGTTTTTTGAGACAGGGTTTCTCTGTGTAGCGGCTGGCCTGGAATTCTCGCTCTGTAGACCAGGTTGGCCTTGAACTTAGAGATCCACCTGCCTCTGCTGGGAATAAAGGCAGGCACTGCCACTCCCTGGCTTACTCCCCATTTTTAAAAGAAATCGTTTTTATGTTTGTGTTTTGCTTGTTCTATGTGTGTGCCTAGGGCTTATGGAGGTCAGAAGAGGGTGATGGATCCCATGGAACTGGAGTTAGACAGTTGTGAGCTGCCATGTGGGTGCTGGGAGGCAAACCCTGACAGAAGCAAGTGTCTCACCCCTGAGAAACGTTGACAGCTTCAGGATAGCGTTCCTTTAAAAGCACCAGCAAAGACCAGTTTCTCCCCCATACTTTCTCTGACTAGTGCCTCTCAGAAAAAGCTGTCACAATGTGGCAGCACAGCCCCTGCACACACCATAGTCTGGCACTTTAGCAACACGAGGGCTATTTCTTTAGTTGAGTCTTACAAAATACTTGCTTGAATTTAGGGACCATGTTTTAGGAAAGTGAGCCTGAAAAGAAGTCTTCAGGAACTGCAAACGGAAAATGAATGAAGGATAGATCCACTGTGTTCATCTATTGTTTACCTCAGGGTCAGAGCTTGCTGAGGAATGGTTGGTCATACTCTCCAGAGCCATTTTATGCTCTTGCTCGCTCTCTCCCTTCTTTGGCCAAATACAGTTGAAGTCATGCACATAAATCATAGATCTACTACCCAAACTGGTGATCACATCAAGCATTCTATTTTTTTAAACAAATGCAGGAATTATAAGGATATGTGAAAACTACTAGAGGCCAGATACACACATTTTTCTTGTACATTAAACATGTAGTACTGTGTATGTGCTTGGTGTATATGGGAGGGGTGCACGCTACGATATGAGTGTGAAGGTCAGAGGTCAACCTTGAGGGGGTCGGGTTTTCTCCTTTTGCCACTGTGTTATGAGAATCACGTTGAAGTTGTCAGGCTTCTGAGGCAAGTGTCTACCTCCTGTGGCATCTTACCAGCCTTAAACATGCGGTTATTAACCAGCACTATGAGACTCAGCTAAATATAACGCTCAAACACGGAGACCAGGGTCTACACTGATTCTAATTTAATTTTTTTCACTGCATATTATGTATGTGATGGGCAACATCACACATGTGGGGGTCAGAGGATAATTTCGTGGAGTATGGTCTCTCATACTTCAAACTCAGGTCCCAAGGAGGAAAGTGTTTTCACCCTCTCAGCCACCTTCTCCCCCACACTAATCCCCTGGCTTGGTGCATCCTGTGCACAGGCAATTGAGGTCTAAGTCTTGGCTAAACACTCCTTTTAAACCATCATCAGACAAGTGAACCGGTCACTTCAGAATAAATGGGGCCCATTTCACGATCTTGTCTAGAGACTGGTTGTCAATGTTTCCTGGTTTCCGACTTTGTATCTGCTGCCTCTGTATGCACTATCTACTTCCTGTTTAGCTTGATGACCTTTTCATTTAGAACTCTGAACTTCCCGGATCAAAACCTGATCTTTGGTCTCCAATACCCTCACAAGCATGGGTTCTACTTATTTGCCCCAGGCTAGTTCTTGGGTCTTTGATTTTCCTGATTTTTTGCATCTAACCCCGTGTCTCTACCTCACACCTCCATGACAACCCTAGAGTGGCAACCAGCAAGGCCACTGAGTCAAGGAAGAAGTGCTATGGTTCTATTGTAAAATGATCTCAACTGTAAAAGGTACAGTGATTACTAATGTTACATCAGCACTCATTTCATTTCCTTCAAACATGGTTTTGGTTGAGCACCCCCAACATGGGGGGGGGGGGTAATTTCTTTCACTGGACAAAAGGCTATCTAGGCCCAATGACCTTCCTGGCTGGTGCTGTGGTCTAGCTGCGATTATCATCAACGCTGTTCCACCTGTCTTCACATTTTTATTGTAGTGCCCTAATTTTTTCCTTCTTTCTTTTCACTAGCAGCTGCTGCTTCTTTAATTCTCTAAAAATTATGCACTAACATGGAAAGGAAAACGGCATGGCTGTGAAAAGAATTTTTTATGGTCATCTTAGGATCATCCTGAGATCTAGAGCCTCAACAAGTACTGAACACCTTGGAACTCATCCCAATTTAACAGGTGCTTTTTTTTCTTTCACAATTATAGTAACCATTTTCTAGTTTCCAATGTTTTTATATTTTTCTTAGAATACTGTAGACTCTTGGAAGACAGGGATCACACTTCATTCATATATTAATTCCCAACAGCCCTAGGCATTAACTAGCTTGCAGCAAACACTGGCTGTTATTTCATCATTTTTATACTCTTAATCTCTAATAAACTCATGGCCCTACTATGGCTCATTCCCTTAGAACAGTATGCTATTTATTGTTAATAAAAAACTTTCCGCTTTTTTTTTTTTTTTAAATATTAGGAAAAGTCCAAGCAACCATGCCAAGTTTTTAAAGAGTGCCACAAGCATGTCACTTCAGATGCCCAGCAGGCCAGAATTTCAGTGTAGCGAAAATCCGGAAATGCAGGGCCAGTGGGAGAGGCCCTATAAATACCTACAGTCTTTCAAGGCCTCTACGTTCCAAATTCAACTCGTGTTTCAGGCAGCGTCTTGCAGTTCCCCAACTACACTTGGGAACAATTCTTCGGACTCGCAGGCGCAGATTAAAGACTCCAGGTAACGTGACGGGGTGAGAATGTTTTCTGACAATACTGGCAGGGACTGAGAGGCGGGTTTCGCGGGAACCCATTCTCTGGGTCACCTGCGCGCCGCGGTCACCCTGGTTCGCTTAGAGACGAGGGCTGGGGACGCGGATTTGGCCAGCCCCTCGTGTTTAACCTATTCTAGCGGGCTGGGAACTAGGTCGGGGAGGACGGTTGTTCCGCTCGTCCTCATCCGAGTTCCCCTTCGTGTTTGCAGGGCTGGGCGAGGCCGTCCCGGGCCGGCCTCCCCTCCGCCGCGGGCCCCCTGACCGGCTGCAGCCGGAGCCGACGGCCGGGCGGGGATTAGCAGCAGGTCATAAACAACCGCTCGCTTCCCCTCCCCCGCGCCCCGGCCCGCCCCAAGCCCAGGCCTGCCGCCGCCGCGGGGCCTGCGCGCTCCTCCGGCCCGCTCGCTCTCCTCGGCCCCGCGCTCGGGATCGCGACGCGGAGCCCTCACCCACAGGCCGTGGGCGGCTTCCACTTCCCTTCTCCCGACCCCGTCACCGAGCGCAGCCCCAGGGCCGGTCGCCCGGACACACACGCCCACGGGCCGCGGCCGCCCAGCGCGCGCCGCGACGCAGTCCCCGCCCCCACCCTCGGAGCTTCCGCGGCGTGTCCCCGCCCCTTCCCGGAGCCCGCCTCCCGGCGGCTGGCCTCGGGGCGCCCGCCGCCCCCTCGCCCCTCGCGCTGGCTCGAGCGTGCACCCGGGCGGGTGGGTGGGTGGGGGCCCGCCTCCCGCGCATGCTCAGTAACTGTCCTCTCAGCCTGCCTGCGAGCTTCCCCCGCCCCTCAGCTGTTTGAATATGCTAATGAGGTCCTGAGGGCCGGCCAATAGCACGGCGGGCCTCTGGATCACATGACCCGAGTACGTGTCAGGGGTGGAGCCTACGTAGCCCCTGCCCGAGTTAAAACCGGAGTGTGAGAGAGAAAAGCGCTTCAGTAGCGAGAGGGGCTGAGAAAGTGGTGACACCGCTGGGGTGCGGAGGGAGTCCCTGAAACTTCTCCCAACAGCCCCAGGGCCAATCTCCCCTCAGCCCACTCCCCTCTTCGCCGGGTCCCTGAGCCCCACTCCCTGCACTGGGGGTGGGGTGGGGAACTGGGCCCGTCTCCCGCGGGGACACACACAGGGGCCGGGAGCGGGGACGGGACCCCCAGGCCGGGGGGGAACGGACGGACAGACGGCCGTGCGGCCGCCCCAGCGGGCAGGCAGGCCAGAGGCGGGGGTGCGACCGGGAGGACCTGGGCTTGGGGAGTTTCCTCTCAACTATCGGGGGAGAAACTCCCTGTGGCCGGTGTTTTCCTCCCGGGGGCCGCGTTCTCCGCCCCGCGTAGCGGCGGTTGCCGCCGCCGCCGCCGGTGCCTCCACCTCTGCCATCTCTTCACCACCTCGGGCCCCGGTGTCCCCGGCCAGCACTATGCCCATCTTACTGTTCCTGATAGACACGTCTGCCTCTATGAACCAGCGCAGCCATCTGGGCACCACCTACCTGGACACGGCCAAAGGCGCGGTAGAGACCTTCATGAAGGTACCGACTGACCGAGCCCCGGCGGCGGCGGCGGCGACCCCGACCCGGTGGCCCGCGGGGGGCAGGGCGGGGGGGGGGACGGCAGGGCTACTGCGGGCTCCGCGGGCGCGGGGACCCCTCCCCCACCGCGCGGGCGGGCGGGCGGACGGGCGGGCGGGAGCTGGGAGCGGGCTCTGCTGGGCCTGGCCCATGTGGGGTTGCTGTGGGTGCGGGGGGGGGGGACGGCGGAGGGACGGCCCTGCGTGTGCGGTACTGTGGGGGGCGGCCCGCGACCCTCCTTCGGCTGCTAACCTCGCCTCCGTGCTTCCCTCTCTCCCGCCCGTCCCCACCCTGGCCCGCAGCTCCGTGCCCGGGACCCTGCCAGCCGAGGAGACAGGTATATGCTGGTCACTTTCGAAGAGCCGCCCTATGCTATCAAGGTAACAGCCCTCGCCCTCCCCCCCTTCCCTGCTCCTTCCTAGCTCGCCCTTCCCCGCCCCCTCTTCATTATGCTCCCCTCCCCCACCGCTGCTCCCGCCTCCAGGTCCCTTCCCCTGCGGCCTCCCACCCCTCCCCAGCTCGGGAGCGCCGGCGCGGTGGCAGTTTCTGGCCCACTGCCGTCCCCTCCGGGTCCAGCTCGGCCTGGCGGCAGAGGCGCTACGATCAACATGGCCGACATTTCCCCTCCGCGGCGTGAGCGGCAGCAATGAACTGTGGGGGATATTTATTCAAGTTAGCCCGAGTGACAGCCGGGCCCAGCCTTGCCTAGCCCGGGTTTGCATTAAAAGGGAATCAGCCAAGCTGGCAGGGAAGCCAGGAGGGGGGCTTCGAGACTTGGTCATCACAGAGTGGAACTAGGAAGTCCACCAATCGGTGGGACAGCTGTGGTCAACTTAAGAAGTCCTGCTGCCATCTGCCTTCCACTAGTACCTTCGCAACACCCACCCCTTACACACAATTTGGAGGATGTTACTTAGCACATTCCCTAGTGAAGTTATTAAAGTGTTAAGACTGTTGTTACTTATCAAAAGGTGTAGGGCAAGCAGGTTCATTCTTGACCACCTTTGGAAGAGTTTCCTCACCAGAGACAACAGTTACAACACAGTACCGGGGCCATATCAATCAAAAGTGAAGCTAAATATCCAAACCCGAAATGGAATACCTGCGTGGTGGACATCACATTATAATCAGTGACCTTGTGTGTACGAGGCTTCAAATGATAAAAAAAATATTCTTACATCTTTCTTTTCAGGCTGGATGGAAAGAAAATCATGCAACGTTTATGAATGAACTGAAAAACCTTCAGGCAGAAGGACTTACGACTCTTGGCCAATCCCTAAGGACAGCTTTTGATTTGTTAAATTTAAATAGATTAGTAACTGGCATAGACAACTATGGGCAGGTAGGTTGAATTCTAAGGTAGAAAAGAGTTGTTTTTATTTATGTGTACAAAACCACAATCCAGTCCAAAAGTATGTAACATGGAATGCAAATATAAAACATTCGAGGTTGAAAAACAGTGTGCACACAGTTCAAAACACCTAAAGTATATGGTCTTACATGTGTCACTTCCCCCTTTAAATGGCATTTGCATTCAGAATTCAAATCTGAGTTCTTGGCCAGAAAGTTTACACAAATTTGTTTTTAGTCCCTCAAAGTTCATAAAAGACATGAAAGGGAGGATAGCAATATACCAGTCTGAAAGTACATGTGGCTACATATGCAACTATTGCAATGGGTCACTGCCATTAGTTGACCTCGCAGTTGCATTAGTAAAGACGGTGGAAGAAATGACTGATTAGGGTTTAGTTTACCCTACACCAAAGGGTAGGGTAAGATGTTTTAGGGTTTAGTTTACACCAAAGGGTAGGGTAAGATGTTTCAGCAGAGTCCAGGAACTGGTTGAGTACATACAGTAGAAGGTGTGATATAAATGGCAGATTCAGAATTTTTACAGTTTAAAAATTCCTAACCCTTGGGAAAATGTTTTCTGGAAAACACCAAAGCTTTCTTGTCTTCCTCAAGCTTCCCAAAAGTCCTTTTCTCATCTGTGAGAATAAGAAGAGCTATTAAATACAGCAGTCATTTAGGGGAATGTGAGGTGATCCATTATAACTTTATAATATTGCTATTCTTGAAATACAGATACCAGAGAATATGCAGTGGTACACATGAGGAGTAATTTCAGACTCAAGGAATTCAGTACACAAAGCACTGTGATCATAATGCTACATTTAGGGGTGTATGTTGTATGTATACTTTTCCCAAGTTCCATAATGCACAGCACTCACAAATCTTGAACATTATAAGGAAATCCTGTGACTTCACATATATGCCCAATTGGGGATAATTCTTAAACATGTAACCATCTTTAGAAATGGTTGAATTTAGTCCTATAGCATTTAAAGTGTGCATTACAAGTCAGATTATATGAAAAGCATTTACATCATTTAATTAGGTAACTCAACACAGTACTTTTCTTTTTTTGTTGCTTTATTTTATAATTCTTTTCCACTTGCTGGTCTGTTTCTGTAAAGCATTTTCTTTTGTATGTAGTGTATGTAGTCTGTCATTTTAATATTTTAATCCAAATTTTGCTGAGTTCAAAGACACATCTGAAACTTGCTTTTGGTTTCTTTATTTGGTTGTCAGGTTGTGTTTTTTGTGTAATTTCCTGGTTTTCTGTGGCATATTTCATAAAAAGGAAGGACATTTGGCTACATCCACCTCCTGCTACATATTTAAAACATAGCATAAGGCCCTCTAGGAGAACTGCCAAGGAGTGACCCAGGACACTTGTGTACTTGTAGGGAGTTTAAGGCTGAAGGCAGAGCTTTTGTGCTTTATCACTTTGACAGAAAATTAACCTGGAGATCAAGTTTGTTAACTTGACAACAAGGAAGGATAATTCTTCTCGGTTATTTTAGTGAATCAGCTAGAATTCAGAATGCAGTACTATACTTTTTGTTTATGTCCTGAATTTGCACATAATGAAACTAGCATTAAAATAATTTAAGAAGCTATGATTTCTGAATAAATGGAATTTTTTATTGCGTAAAGTTGATTTAGAAGAAATCAGGCTTCTGCATTTTCCATTATAAAACCATTTTTTTTGTTGTTTATTTAAATATTTGAAATTTCTTATTATATGATGGCTGTCAGAATTTTGGATGATTGATAATGTTAAATCTCATTTGAGTATTTGGAAAAGAACTTTGTAGGATAGCTTCATTGTGTAACCTCAGTATTTTGTCTATAAGCATTTCATGCTGAATAATAGGAATATTGGATATAGTCTCAGTAGTTGAAGGTGGGTTAGCTGGAAGCATGATAGTCTTACAGAGCATCTGTATGACTTGATATAGATCCAAATTGTTGTTAACAGTACACATACCTAACTTTTCTGTCTACATGCAGACACATAGGTGATTTTTTATAATCATTGCAAGAACACTAATATCTGTGTTGCATTTGTTACCTGAGTATTCTTACTTAGGTAGGATACTTGGAATTTAAGGTTACAATAGCTGAGCCAAAAGCATTCTTGAATGTTTTTCTCAAGCACCTTGGATATTTTGCTAACAATTGGTATGCCTATATAGAAGGTCCTTTTAAATACTTGGTAATTAATACCATTTGCTGGTATTTCTATAGTCATAAATCAGTGTGGGCCTCTAGTCACCCCTTCATCTTAAAAGCAGTACCTTAATAAATTGCTTATTATTACAGATAAATTTGAAAAATTTTGTCCACATATTAGCAGTTTCAGATGGTATAGATCTTGTTAGAGTCTGAAAATAAACTCAAGTAGCTAAGATTAAGAAAGTAGACAGAAATTGAGCAGTTTTATTACACAGATTGCCATGTTTTTATATTTTGTGTTTTTTGTTTTTTCTTGAATGTTTGCTTTTTTTTTTTAAAGTTAGGTTTACGTGCCTCACTCTTTACTGCCACTTACCAATATTTTAGCTCTGATTGGATTGTTTAGAATGATGCCTGACCTGCTGTGTATTTTAAAAAGAGAAAAATGTTTAGTGCTTTGAGGCTTTTCAGTGGGAGTAGTTACTCCATTTGAAAGTGATGGGTTTTTTGTGAGATGAGTTGGATGACCCTGTCTTGGTTTGAGCTGGTCTCACTAGCAGGCCTGGAACATACTATCTAGACTGTCTGGTCTTGAATGCAGAAAGGTCTGTGGGCTTCCACCTTAAACATTGCCATTACAAGCCTGTATAGCCACACCAGGCCAGGTTTTTCTTTTAATGTTAATTAGTGAAATAGTGATTCCTATTTGAATTTTAGGGTTTTTTTTTTTTTTTCTTTTCCCTTAGATTATCAACAAGTTCTTTATTAAGCTATAAATACTAAGTTATTTATATATTTATTAAGCTATAGATAAGCTTCTCAAGTGAAAATGTTTTTTCTTTTTTCTTATACTTCCCTGTACACTGCATGGACTACACTGCTGAAATGTGAACTGAAATAATAATGATTAGTTAGTTTTATGTGGGTTGGGTATGAAACCCAGAACCTTGTACATGTTAGTCAAAGGTCCTACTACAGAGCCACATCATCTGTCTTATTTCAAAAATTTTAAGCCCTTAATTAAAAATTTTTTTTGTTTAAAAAAATTAAATGACGTGTGGGGAAAGGGTGGGTAGCATGCCACATTGCATATGTGATATAAGAGAGACAACTTGTAGGAGTTGGTTTTTATCTTCCACCATGCTGGTCCCTGGCTCCAAACTCAGGTCTAAGGTTCGGTGGCATGTACCTTTCCTGTTAAGTCACCTTGCTATTCCAAAGTTCCTTATTAAAAAAAAAAAAAAAAATTAAGAAGTAGAAAACAAAATTATCTGTCTTCATTTTTAAGTATGCAAGCCTATGGTATTAGATATATTCACATTGTTGTGCAAGTATGTGCCTAGAACTTTTTCATCTTGCAGAACCAAAACACCTATTAATAACCTCTATTCCCTACACTTCCTTTAGGATCCTGTTTCTACTTACTGGTTGTTTTTTTTTTGTTTTTTTTTGTTTTTTTTTGAGTTAGACTAATGTGCATAAATATAAATATAGTTGAACCCTTCCTCTGTGGGGTTTGCTAATCCATGGATTCAACCAACCAGATATTTCTGAGCAAATCCTGAATCTGTACTGAACATGTTTCCATGTTATTCAGTAAATGCAACTTACATAGCATTAAGATTGCATTAGGTATTTTAAGTAACCTAGAGATGATGTAAAAAGTACCTAAGTGGATGTATGTAGGTTATATGGATGCTGAGGGAATTAGAGTGTCTTTGTCTTTTTTTTTTTTTGGTTTGGGGCTTGGTTCTGAGAGAGGGTTTCTCTGTGTGTAACTTTGGCTGTCCTGGAACTCACTCTGTAGACCAGGCTGGCCTCACCGATCCACCTGGTTTCTGCCTCCCCAGTGCTGGGATTAAAGGCATACACCACCACCGCAATGGCTGTGTTTGTCTTTTTATGGTTTAAGGATTATTTGCCTAATCCTTAAGGTTCATCAGTGCTGTAGCATGTAGAGTTTTTGTCAGAATTTTCTGGACTAACAGGAATAATGCTTTAACGAATGTACGTATGTAAGTATCTCTTTAAGACTTTGCTTTCAATTCTTTTGGCTATACACATTAAAAGAGAATAGTAAATCTTGCCAGGCAGTAGTCCTAGCACTTAGGGCAGTGGCAGGTGTATCTCTCTGACTTTGAGGCTAGCCTAGTCTACAGAGCAAATTCCAGGACAAGGCAGAGCTCTTACACAATGAAACCCTGTCTTGAAAGACAACAACAACAAAAAATAGTCAATTTTTTGAGGAACTCTACATAATTTCTTCCATAGTAATTACACAGTTTTACATTGCCAGCAGTACTACGCTGACCCAACCAAACTTCACTAACCTCCTTTAGCCATCTTAATGGATGTGAAAGGATACCATTATTGTTTTGATTTGCATGTTTTTTAGATCATTATTAAGCATTTTTTTTTCATGTGCTGATTAGCCATTTATATACAGTCTTTGGAGATATGTTTTTTTAAAGTCTTGAGTTAAACATGAACTCAAGACACACGTATACACACATACAGGGGATTCTGTTTGTTTTTTATTCTGTTTGTTCAAAGTGTTGGGAGTTGAATTATGGCCATAGATACCCTAGGCAAGTACTCTGCCATTGAGCTACATTCCCAGCTTTTGGGGATTTTTTTATATGTTTTGTTTACTAACTATCAGATAATTCCTACATCATCTGTCATTGTGTAGGTTATACTTTTACACTGTTGATTATGCCCTTTTCGTGTGCAGGGTTTGTTTTTATGTAGTTGAGTCTGTTAACTTTTTTCCTGTACTTTTTCATGTCTATAAATGTTTGCTTAATTGGAATTACTGAA